TTTAGTAGAGACGGGGTTTCACCATGTTGACCAGGATGGTCTTGATCTCTTGACCTTGTGATCCACCCGCCTCGGCCTCCCAAAGTGCTGGGATTACAGGCTTGAGCCACCGCGCCCGGCCATAAATGTAATCCTTAGTGAAATTAACAATACTGTAATATAAGGAAGGAAACTGTAAGGTAATGACCCTGAAATGTACCCCTACCTGCATTTATATGTGTACATATGTATATACATATATATACGTATATATCGCTACCTTATCGTTACCACCTCTATTTAGTTGGAGATAAGGACATCTTAAATGAAAAGAATTAAAACACAGCATTTCGTTTCACATCAGGTTTTGTTAAGACAAATTCTGGTACAGACAAACAGGAAGATTTGAGAAAAATCAATGAGAGGAAAAAGTCACTATTGAGACAATTTTACTATCTTAATTGTTACCCCTGGGGAATTAGGGTGGGGGGACACTTTGATTTGCTTTCAGCAGTGCTTTCTAATCTGTGGAATGCCAGGGTCCCAGTGTGGCAGCCTTTGAGAATAAGGGGTTTCATGCAATGGAGACGTTGGTTTGGTCTGTATGAGAATGATGCTAACAGCTAATATTTATTAATCAATATTTATTAATATGACTAATTACATGCAGGCACTGTGGGAACCCTATATGTCGATGATCTCATTCCTACTCCAGTTAGATATTATCATCATCCCAGCTCACAGACGAGGAAATTGCGAGGCACTATGTTAGCTGCAGCTAGAAGGAGGCAAAGCTGAGGTTCGAACTCCAGTCTCTCTGAATCCAGAGCTCATACCCTAAACCACCGCACTCTACAGTCAAACAGCTTCGCAGATATTTTTAATGACTTGTAGGATGGATCAGAGGGTGGGCATCTTAGAGAAAGTTGCTCAGGCAGTACCACGGAGGAGAATCAGTGAGAAGCTTGGCCGGAAGTTTGCTGGAGTAGGGGAACTGCAGTAGGGGAAAAGCTAGTCAGTGTCAGCCCAAGTGCTGTGTGTGTAGGAAGAAGACAGTGACAATGGCTGGCAAAGGAAGCCTTCCTAGTGAATGTCAAACATCATTTATTTTCTAGAAACCCACCATGGCATATGCTCTCGTTTGTGCAAGGAGAGTGACTCCGTGGTTCTGGCAGTTGGGTGAGTAAAGGGGAGATGCCGGGGAGCCAGCAGGGAGCAAGGCTCTGATTTGGCGAGATGGGGTGGGAAATAGAAATGGGGGTGAAGTGGCCAGGCACAGTGGCTCGCACCTATAATCCCAGCACTTTGGGAGCCCGAGGTGGGTGGATCACGAGGTCAAGAGATCGAGACCATCCTGGTCAACATGGTGAAACCCCGTCTCTACTAAAAATACAAAAATTAGCTGGGCATGGTGGCACGTGCCTGTAATCCCAGCTACTCGGGAGGCTGAGGCAGGAGAATTGCTTGAACCTGGGAGGTGGAGGCTACGGTGAGCCGAGATCGTGCCACTGCACTCCAGTGTGGGTAACAAGGGGAAAGCGCCATCTCAAAAAAAAAAAAAAAAGAAAGAAAGAAATGGGGGTGAGGGGTGGGAGCAGATGGGAGCTGGAGGAAGCCCAGAGGAGGGGATGGGCTGAGAGAAGCCAGTGAAGAAAGACGTGGCTGGGTGTGGTGGCTCACGCCTGTAATCCCAGCACTTTGGGAGGCCACAGCAGGCGGAATGCTTGAGCCCAGGAGTTCAGACCAGCCTGGGCAACATAGTGAGACTTCATTTTTACAAAAAACACAAAAATTAGCCAGGTATGGTGGCATATGCCAGTAGTCCCAGCTACTTGGGAGGCCGAAGTGGGAGAAGCACCTGCGCCTGGGAGGTTGCAGTGAGAGAACCTGATTGCACCACGACACTCAGCCTGGGTGACAGACAGGAACCTGTCTTAAAACAAACAAAACACAACAAAAAAAGAAAAAGAAGTGAGAGAAAATATGGGGAGATGAAGAGAGAGGGAGAGACAGACAATGGGAACCCCTTCCTCTGTGCATGTGGGCCTTGGGTTTATTTAAACAGAGGCGTTTTGTGCATTTGGAAGGTGGGTAGGAAGGAGGTGGCCTTTTTAAAGCAGATCAGGTGCAGAGTTTCACTGCAAGAACACTTGGGTGGCACAACTCTTCTTTGAGTAAGACAGCCCTGCCCTTCCCTCTGCTAAATGCCGGTGGTACCCTGTACCATCACTCAACCTCAAATGCTGCCACATTCACTTCCAAGTGTTCCCATAAGGGAGGTTCCACGCCTGGTTGAGACCCACTAGAGAAGGTGAGAAAAACAAAAACAAACCCATTGTCTGTCCTGACGGGTCTCTGACAGTCACCCACCCCTCCTGGAGCCTCAAAGAGGGCATGGTGGGCGCTGGGCCCCTGTCCTACCGCCTGATGCAGCATCACGCAGGTGCTTCCTCCTGATAAGTTTCCCTGTAGTTTCATTTAAAGGTACACATTCGAAAGAAATAGCTGTTCTAGCTGGGGGCGGTGGCTCATGCCTGTAATAACAGCACTTTGGGAGGCTAAGGCAGGTGGATCACCTGTGGTCAGGAGTTCGAGACCAGCCTGGCCAACAAGGAGAAACCCTATCTCTACTAAAAATTTTAAAAAAATTAGCTGGGTGTTGTGGCGGTCACCTGGAATCCCAGCTACTCGGGAGGCTGAGGCAAGAGAATTGCTTAAACCTGAGAGTCGGAGGTTGCGGTAAGCTGAGATTGTGCCATTGCACTCCAGCTTGGGAGACAGAGTGGGACTCTGTCTCAAAAGAAAAAGAAATATCAGTTGTCTGCATCTCAGTTGGGGTACATCTCCTAGCTTTCCTGTGACACAGCTATCTGAGGAGAGTGAAAAATGAAGAGATGAAGCCGGTGTGGCAGCTCACGCCTGTAATCCCAACACTTTTGAAGGCCAAGGTGGGTGGATCACTTGATGCCAGGAGTTTGAGGCCAGCTGGGCCAACATGGTGAAACCCCATCTCTACAAAAAATATGAAAATTAACCAGGCGTGGGGGCATGTGCCTGTAATCCTGGCTACTCAGGAGGCTGAGGCAGGAGAAGCGCTTGAACCCGGGAGGCAGAAGTTGCAGAGCCAAAATGGTGCCACTGGACTCCAACAACCTAGGTGACAGAGTGAGACTCCATCTCAAAAAAAAAAGTGAAGAGGTTAGGTGACAGACCTGGCTAAACCCTGACTTTATAGTTCTCAGCTCCCAAGGAGTTTCACCGTGGGATGTTGCTAGACACCTTATCATTCTGCTTGTGCCAAAGCAAGAGATCATCGGTAAAACATGCCAGCAAGTCTCTGCCAGAAAGTTATTTTCTAAATCCAAGGTAGACAGGATTTTGGAGTTAAGGGTATTGCTCTCCAGGAATACCTATTGCCAGGTGGCCTGAAATGGGGATATGGAATGGAAACGGCTGATGGAATATTTATTTGTTGGTCCCATAGAGTGTTTCTTTTTCTTTCTTTCTTTTTTTTTTGGTTGGGGGGCTGGTGGTGGAGTCTCGTTCTGTTGCCCAGGCTGGAGTGCGGTGGCGTGATCTTGGCTCACTGCAACCTCTGCCTCCCGGGTTCAAGCGATTCTCCTGCCTCAGTCTCCCAAGTAGCTGGGACTACAGGCACACACCACCACGCCCAGCTAATTTTGTAATTTTAGTAGAGATGGGGTTTTACCATGTTGGTCAGGCTGGTCTTGAACCCCTGACCTCATGATCCGCCCACCTTGGCCTCCCAAAGTGCTGGGATTACAGGCGTGAGCCACTGCGCCTGGCCTCTTTTTCTTTTTATAAATTTGTGGCCAGCATTTAAAAATAGTGAACTTTCTCACAAAATCTGGATTTCTGGAATCTCTTAGCAATACCAGGTAGGCACGGCAGCAATGGTGTTGAGTGGGCGTAGCTCATTTGGAAGAGAGCTGTGTATCTCTGGCCTCTGGTGGTACAGCGAGTCCTCGATGCTGTCGATAGGTTCTTAGAACTGTGACTTGATGAAGTTAAACCAATTTTACCTATTAATTTACCTAGGCTAATTGATATAAATAAGAATTAAGCACTGATGGTATAATTCTGGTCACAAAAACACCAGCAAACTTACTTAAATTTTTTAAAATTTATTTTACTGCTTTTATATTTTATAATTTTCTTTAATAGAGATGAGGTCTTGCCATGTTGCTCGGGCTGGTCTCAAACTTCTGAGCTCTGGCAGTCCTTCTGTCTCAGCTTCTCAAAGTGCTGAGATTACAGGCACAAGCCGCTATGCCTGGTCTAAACTTCTAAATGAAGGCCAAAAACTGATAATATTAAAAATTCAGATAAATGTGAGCTATACATATATTTTTAAAAGATTAATATAAACAAAAATATTTATCCAATTTTCGGTGAATCAGTGGGCGATGGTGGTCATTGCAGTGAAGGGTTAAATCTAGCAATAAATATTTTCAAAGCAAAAATTGTCAGGAGTACCTCTGACCACCTCCCAATTCAAAAACAAACACAAATGTGGCAGGCTCATTGAGAGCTTCTGTACTGCATCATGTATTTTTGTGCAGATGTACGATTATGGTACACTTTGTGCATTTGTTTTTTTTTTTTAGCTTGGTCTCACTCTGTCACCCCGGCTGGAGTGCAGTGGTGTGATCTCGGCTCACTGCAACCCTGCCTCCCAGGCTCAAGTGATTCTCATGCCTCAGCCTCTCGAGTAGCTGGAACCACAGACGCGCACCACCACGCCCAGCTAATTTTTTCTATTTTTGGTACAAGCAGGGTTTCACCATGTTGCCCAGGCTGGTTTTGAACTCCTGAGCTCAGGCAATCCATCTGCTTTGGCCTCCCAAAGTGCTAGGATTACAGGCTCAAGCCACTGTGCCCGGCCAACTTAATGCATTTTTATTTTGCAATAATTTGTCTTCCTTCATCTATTCATTTTCCAACTCCCTTATTCCAGTTGAGGTCTGGGCTGGCTGGAGCCTATCCCTGCAGCTCAGGGAACAAGGCAGGAACCAACCCTGGACGGGACACCCCTCCTATCGCAGGGAACACTCACACGTGCACCCACATTCACTTGGACCGGGGCAATTTAGAGATGCTCATGAATGTAACATACACATCTTCGGGATGTGGGCGGGAACTGGAGGATCTGGAGAAAACCCACATGACATGGGGAGAATGTGCAAATTCCACATGAACAGTAGTAGCTCAGGCTAGAATCATTTTTCTTTCTTTCATCAATATCATGAAACAACATTGAATGAAATGACATTATTTGAGGGCCTACTTTTTTTTTCTTCTTTGAGACAGGGTCTCGTTCTGTCACCAAGGCTGGAGTGCAGTGGCATGATCACAGCTCACTGCAGCCTCGACCTCCCAGGCCCAAGCCATCCGCCTGCCTCAGCCTCCTGAGTAGCTGGGACTACAGGCATCCACTACCACACCCAGCTAATATTTTGTGTTCTTTGTAGAGGTGGGTTTTCACCATGTTGCCCAGGGTGAACTTGAACTCTTGGACTCAAGTGAACAGCCCACCTCGGCCTCCCAAAGTGCTGAAATTAAAGGTGTGAACCATTGGCCTGGCCGACTTGCTGTGTTTAAGTCTACAAGATCCCCCCAACAAAATCTGTGGGTATGGCAAGATTAATTAAAAACATAAGCAAGCCTTGAAGATGCTTATACAAGAATCCTAAAACAGGAGGCAGGAGCAGGTGAGTCAGGGAAGCAACATAAGGTAGGTTCAGAAAGATGGGGCTAGAGTTGGTGATATTTACATTGTTGCCCAATTGGTGGAAGTCTTGTAACACAGGTTCCCCGTTAGGGCATTGAGACAATAGGAATGGCACCTGCCAAGTTATGTGGGCTGTATGTGTCTCATCTTATTTAAGCCTCACACCTAACTTTACCTGCTCAAGTTTCAGAAAGGGAAGTGAATGGACTAATTTGGGCTAAAAGATGCTAGGTGCTGATATTTTTGGATCTGCCGGGGCGTTGAGTATCAACTGTGTTTCTTGATTCCTTTTTAGTTACCGCAAGTTACCCAAATATAAGTGTCCAGTGTCAATAAGAGACTGCTTGGCGGCCACCATCCACTTCCTGAGGTCCCTACATGCATATGGAGTGGATCCAGCCCGGGTTGTGGTCTGTGGCGACAGTTTGGGAGGGGGACTAGCCACAGTGGTTTGTCAAAAACTTGTGAACACGCCAGATCTGCCCCGGATCCGGGCTCAGATCCTGATCTATGCCATTCTCCAAGTCCTAGATTTTCAGACCCCTTCCTTTCAGCAGAGAAAGAACATCCCGATGCTCTGCTGGAGTTTCACCTGGTACTGTTTGTATCACTATCTGGATATCAGCTCCTCCTGGCAAGAGGTCATCATGAAAGGCGCCCATTTGCCTGCCAAAGTCTGGGAAAAGTACAGAAAGTGGTTGGGCCCAGAAAACATCCCGGAGAGGTTTAAGAGCGGCTACCAACAGAAGCCCCACGAGCCCGTGAATGAAGCTGCTTACTTGGAACTAAGTGTTGTCCTGGATGTGATGTGCTCGCCCCTGATTGCAGAAGATGACATAGTGTCTCAACTCCCGGAAGCTTGCATCGTGAGCTGTGAGTATGATACCCTCCGGGACAGTTCACTGTTGTACAAGAAGAGGCTGGAAGACCTGGGAGTGCCTGTGACCTGGCACCATGTGGAGGATGGTTTCCACGGAGTGCTCAACACCATTGACCTGAACTTCTTGTACTTCCCCAGCTCCACGAGAATTCTGAATGTGTTAACCAATTTTATAAAGGGACTGTGACCATCTTTCTTCTCTGCTGGTGCTGCGGTGTGGATTCCACGGTCATCCAGCCTCCCACAGGACTCTCTGTTGCTGATTTAGGTGGTGCATAGTGAGGCTAGGGAGCAGATGGAGGTTGCTGTCTCCTTTCTGATCTAGGTTCTAGAACCACACAATGTCCAGAGGATGCCATAGAGAAGACAGGTTTGCAGGTGGGGGTGGGGCTCTCTGTCTTTGGCCTCTATTGGGAAAACCTGTGGTGACAATCTACAGTGGCCATTTGTGGGAGTGAATCATAGGTAAGGACTGTTCTCAGCCTCCCTAAGGGGCAGTTCAGACTCTCCAGATTGATACAGACTGTGGGTGACTTGTGTCCACTTGGCTGGACCTTGGAATAGCACAAGAGGATCACATACAATCTCACGGGACCTTCCCAAGCTGTCTCAGAGGCAGGAGCTCTGATGCTCCAGGCTGCTGGGAGGTGGTAGTGGTGGTGGAGAAACTGGCTTTCACCCACCGTCTCTTCTGTGAACAGTAATGACTTTTCCTGCTGTTTCTCAGCCCCTGGGATCAGAGTCTTGACTGCCTGGGCTGGAAAAGCTAAGGCAGAATTGATAGAACTTCCACAGTGGTTAGCATCTAGCAGTAAATAAAGACGTCTTGCAGCTGCCGGACTTGGGGAGGCTCTGGAGCTCCTGGAATCAAAGCCTGGCTTCCAACCAGAAGCCCGAAATCAGTGTTCTAACAGTTTGAGGAGAGAAGTTGGGAGGGAAGTGGGGTCCTGAGTCAGAGACCCATGAAGGCTGAGTCTAACCAGATAACCCTGTCCACAGTGCAAAGTCAAGACAGCCAAAGGGACAGAAGACGTATTGGTGAGAACGATTTCTTTTTTAAGACATGGAACCAACTCAAATTGACCTCCATCAGAAAGAGAATGGATTGGCTTAGGTAGCAATGCATGCTAGGCATCCATCAGGCAAGGTTTGATCCAGGAACTCACACAGTGCCATCAGCTGTCCTGTCTTCTCTGCTCTGCTCTTCTCTCCTCTGTGTTAATGCCGCCTTCACCTCTCCATATGGTGGTACTGAGAAGTTTCATGCTTACCTTCTCCCAGGGTCGAGTTAATTATCATGTAGTTGCCTCATTCTCAGCAGTCCCAGCAAAAACCTTATGGCAACTTGATGGCTTTGTTGGCTTTCTGAGCAATGTGTCCAGTTGCCACAACCAAGGGAATGGAATGTTCTAGCTGACCATTCCCAAGTTCTATGTCATCTGGAAGTGGAGGGTGGAGTCAGTTCACCGTGGTGCTTAGACTAAGCATGAAATGGTGAGTGACAGCTTCCCTAATCGAAGGGTAAATTACAGAAGCTAAACTGAACCCTCAGGCAGGATACGTGGAAGTGGCAAGAAATGTCAAGGTCCACTGGGCAAGTTGGCCAACTGCTCCTTAGGAATGAAAATTCATTTGAAAGGAATGGTCAGGCTCCCATACTGGCCCCATCTGGTCTTCTGGAGGCTCTGATCTTGGTTAGTGAGTGGTCTTTACAGGCTAAGGTCAAGGCGATTGCATAAAAAACCCCGTGGATGCCCTTAATTTGCTTTCAGTTGAACATTTGGGCTGAACTATGAGGCAGAGAGGAATCCAGTTGACCAGAAGGTGGTTTGTTGGAGAAATAGGAATCATCCCCTGAAAACACACTCTGTGGTAGCCACTTGACTGTTGAAGAGCACTGGAGTCCAAGGGGCGAGGCCTCCTCTGAGACAGGCCTCTGAGTTGAGACGGGCCTCTGAGTTGAGAATTTTCTTGTTTCACCCCTGCCTCTGGAGATGTGTAGAGGAACATGAACTGACCTTCTGGGAAGCTGGGGTGGCAAGGAGTTGCTGAGGCACTGCAGGGCCGTGCCCAGCTGAGAGGAATGTATAACCTTTTAAGAGGCTGAGAGTGCCCCTGATTGGGTTCTTGCCCATGGCAGCTGCCTTCTGCAGATCGTGGGAGAATCAAGCACTTTCACCTAATGGCTGGATGATTGATTTTGGGACCGAATTCTCCACTCCTCTCCTTTGCCCCATCACCACTATCCTTCCTGCAATCCATCCACGAGACTCAGTTTGTGGAAAAGGGATAGGATTGAATGTTCACCCAGGGCCGGCTACACGCTAGGCACTGTACTGGACCATTTAAGTTTGCCACCTCCTACGTTCCTCACATTAATCCTACAGAGTAGGTAGAGGTACACTTATGGGATATCGCAGCTTCAGTTCCACACCACAGCAATAAAGCAAGTCACATGGATTTTTTGCTTCCCTCAGTGCATATAAAAGTTACACTTTCACTATATTGTTGTTTATGAGTGTGCAATAGCATTATGTCTTTAAAAAGCATGTACACCCTTAATTTAAAAATACCTTGTTGATGAAAAATGCTAACAATCATCTGAGCCTTCACCATTGCAGTAGCCTGGGCTACTACTGTCTCTGTGGCGTTTGCACATTCTCCCCATGTCTGCATGGTTTTCTCTGAGTTTTCCAGCTTCCTCCCACATTCCCAAGATGTGTATGTTACATTCATGGGTCTGTCTAAATTGTTGTAATCTTTTTGCTGGTTGGTGGTCTTGCCTTGATGTTGATGGCTGCCCAGCGATGCAGGTGGTGGTTGCTGAAGGCTGGGGTGGCTGTGGCAATTTTTCTTTCTTTCTTTCTTTCTTTCTTTCTTTCTTTCTTTCTTTCTTTCTTTCTTTCTTTCTTTCTTTCTTTCTTTCTTTCTTTCTTTCTTTCTTTTCTTTTCTTTCTTTCTTTCTTTCGTCTTTTTCTTTCTTTCTTTCTTTTTCTTTCTCTTTCTTTCTCTCTCTCTTTCTTTTTATTTCCTTTCTTTCTTTTTTCTTTCTCTTTTTCTTCTCTTCCTTCCTTCCTTTCTTTTTTCTTTCCTTTCTTTCCTTTCTTTTTTCTTCTCTCTTCCATTCTTTTTCTATCTTTCATTTTTAACAAGTGAACATTTATTTTTGTGCCTTTCTTCTTATGTGTATTTCAAGTCTTTTTCACAACAAGTCCCCAGGAATCTCCAGATTCAGTTACGTCCCTGGGCTTGGTTGACTGCTGCAGGAGTCTTAGGGAGCCTTGTACAAATGCAAGAATTACTCATTTACCAACATAAAACCCTAGGATAGAAGATGCAACAAAGCAGGACTCCTTCCTCCATGGAATGTGCTGATTTCCGATGAGGCAACAGCCAATGTAGAAAATGCTGGAACTTTTCCTTGGAACTGGACTGTGATGAGAGGTGCTTAGCATGAACATAAGCTACTGTCTTTTCTTTTTTCTTTTAAGATGGAGTTTCAATCTTGCCCAGGCTAGAGTGCATTGGCGCGATCTTGGCTCACCACAACCTCCAACTGTGGCAATTTCTTTCTTTCTTTTTTTTTTTTTGAGATGGGGTCTCACTCTTGCTGCCCAGGCTAGAGTGCAGTGGCATGATCTCAGCTCACTGCAACCTCTGCCTCTCGAGTTCAAGCGATTCTCCCGCCTCAGCCTCCCAAGTAGCTGGGATTACAGGCGTGAGCCACCACACCTGGCTAATTTTGTATTTTTAGTAGAGACGGGGTTTCTCCATGTTGGTCAGGCTGGTCTCGAACTTCTGATCTCAGGTGATCCACCCGTCTCAGCATCCCAAAGTGTTGGGATTACAGGCATGAGCCACCGCGCCCAGCCCTCAGCGATTTCTTAAAATAAGACAACAATGGATTCGCCACATCAATGGACTCTTCCTTTCATGAAAGATTTCTCTGTAGCAGTTGATGCTGTTCGATCGCAGTTTACCCAGAGTAGAATTTCTTTCAAAACTGGAATCTATCCTCTCAAACCCTCATGCTACTTTATCAACTAAGTTTATGTAATATTCTAAATCTTCTGTTGTTATTTCAACAGTGTTCATAGCGTCTTCATTAAGAGTAGATTTCATCTCAAGAAATCACTATTTTTGCTTATCTGTAAGAAGCAACTCCTCATCTGTCCAAGTTTGTTCATGAGATTGCAGCAATTCAGTCATCTTCAGGCTCTACTCCTAACTCTAGTTCCCTGGCTGTTTTCACCACATCTGCAGTGACATCTTCCACGGAAGTCATGAACCCCTCAAAGTCATCCATGAGGTTCGAATCAACGTCTTCCAACGTGTTATGCTGATATTTTGACCACCTCCCATAAATCATGAATGTTCCTCATGGCATCTGAAATGGGGAATTCCTTTTAGAAGTTTTCCAATTTACTTTGCAGAGATCCATCAGAGGACTTACTGTCTATGACAACTATAGCCTTACAAATTGTATTTCTTAATTAGACTTGAAAGTCAAAATACTCCTTGATCCATAGGCTGCAGATGGATGTTGTGTCAGCAGGCATGAAGACGACATTAATCTTGTACATCTCCATCAGAGTTCTTGGGTTACCAGGGGCCTTGTCAATAAGCAGTAATATTTTCAAAGAAATCTTTTATTCTGAGCGGTAGGTCTCAACAGTGGGCTTAAAGTATCTAGTAAGCCATGCTGTAAACAGATGTGCTGGTATCCAGGCTTTTTTGTTCCATTATAGTGCACAGGGAGGATAGGTTTAGCATAATTTGCTGGATGCAGTGGCTCATACCTGTAATCCCAGCACTTTGGGAGGCCCAGGCAGGTGTATCACCTGAGGTCAGGAGTTCGAGACAGCCTAGTCAACATGGCAAAACCTTGTCTCTACTAAAAATACAAAAAATTAGCTGGGCATGGTGGCAGGTGCCTGTAATCCCAGCTACTCGGGAGGCTGAGACAGGAGAATTGCTTGATCCCGGGAGGCAAAAGTTGCAGTGAGCTGAGATTGTGCCACTGTACTCCAGCCTGGGTGACAGAGAAAGACTCAGTCTCAAAAAAAGAAAAAAAGATTTAGCATAATTTTTCAGGGCCCTAGGATTCTTGGAATGGAAATGCACATTGGCTTCAACTTAAAGTCACCAGCTGCATTCGCTCCTAACAAGGGATTCAGCCTGTCCTTT